TAGGTGTGCCTGCTTGAGCAGGAAGGTTGGACTAGATGATCTGTAGAGGTCCCTTCCAACCTTAAATATTCTGTGAATCTGTGTGAATCTGTGAATACACTGTTTGCAATTGCAMGGTTGTTATCACTGTATATTGTCTTTAAAGACTAAAAGTCAAAACGGTTGACAATTTGAGCCAGGGAACAACACAAAGAAGCAAACRTTGTGGACTTAAACTGAACTACAGGTGGATGCTGAGGCATAGAATTAGAAAGAAGAGAGGAGACTCCGGTATCAGCATCACCAATTTTAATAGTGCCRCTATGAATCAACCCTGAAAAGCAAATCAGTGCAGAAAATTACATTTCACAATTCACTGTTTCTCTCTAAAAGGTAGTCTGTTAACAACAGAGAAGTTGCATTTTCTACCTGAAACCTCTTAGGAATTTCACAGATTCACAGATTCACAGAATATTTAAGGTTGGAAGGGACCTCTACAGATCATCTAGTCCAACCTTCCTGCTCAAGCAGGCACACCTAGAGCATGTGGCACAGGGTGGCATCCAGGCGGGTTTTGAAGACCTCCAGAGTAGGAGACTTACGTAAGTTTGATTCCTTTTTGGCATCAGCATCATCCTCAGTAGCAAGGACTCTCCTCTACAGATACTTTCACCTCTTCATATTTGAAGTTCTACCATCTTCACAGGAAACTCTTAATTTATTCCACAAAAACAGGGAAGCTGTACACTGAGGAGAGCCGCAGCAATGAAGAAGAATCTATTCTAGTGAAAGACACTAAGGACTGAATGTCATTACCTTATTGTTGCCTGGTCCCCCTTAAAGGATTAGTGGTAACAAAACTRAAATTTTCAGTATAGTAAAGTAAATTTTCAGTACACTGGTTTTGACAAAGACAAAAATAGGGAGAGAGTGGCAGTTTTATAAAAATGATTTTCAGAACAGCTTTCTAAAAAATTCATTTGAAGTTACAGTAAAAGAATTGTCTTTACTTTCCCACAGGTTAATCACATGCAGTTGCCCATGTCATATTAATGCTATTCAAGGAGTGAGAATTAATATTTKGAAAGAACCAATGTACTGCGACCTTGCAATATGTGCAGAAATAYCTGAATTGAATAAATCAGCTAAACAGTAAGTTGCATGGGTGAGTACGGCATGCGGAAGAGACAAAATATGGAAGGCAGAAGAGGCAGCCTTGGCAGTATCTCTGCCTGAGCACTCAGGTCTGGAAGATGGGAAATAATCTCAGCTGCCAGCTAAATGGGAGCTTGTTGACTGAAATGGGTTATAACTTTCTATGTATGGGGAAAAAAAAAGACTGCTTCTCTTCTTAATGACGATTAACATTTGGATATGGAGACAGGAAGGTAGTAGGAAGGCTTTCATATAAAAGGTACTGAAAAAGAAGAAAAGAACATTTTCTTTTTTGTCTGTTAAACAAACACTTGCTCTCATGAAAAATCCATGGTTCCATGATGAACCCAGGAATGAGGACTAAGTAGACTTGTCYGAGGTACCTCTAAGTATTATTTAGGAAGAGACATTTTTATTTTTAAGCTTGTACATCAAGAGCTCCTTAAATAGAAGCTATAAATACTTCCACATCTGAGTTTATCYCTACGCAAATAAATTCATGGTCATTTTGAGACAACTCTTTAACCTAGGCATCTTGTAAAAAAATGGCACTGGGAGTGGGAGGAGGCCACTTCACAAGCAAAGATGGCAATGGCCATAACATGATAGGGACACTGGAAATATCGGAGGTTTGCAGACACTTTGCTTTCATCACTTGGGCACTTCTTCTTGCCACAGACATGCTTCTGCATTCAGCAGTTGTGATACCCAGCCATGGTATGTAGGCATGCAGCCTAGGGTTGGGAGGTGCCACAGGATGTAAAAGGAAATCCACGACAGGAAATAGCTGCATGGAACTATGTGAAGATGATGCTTGCAAAGTTCCTACATATTGGCAACACAGTGATATGTGATTACAGCATTTCCCAGACATCTTTGTAGACAGAAAGTCTGGGTAATAAATAAACACAGAAATCATAGACACTGAAGATGCATGTACCTGCTAGCTTAACTTAAAAGATGTGAAAAGAAAGGCATAAAAGATGTCTTTTATGTTAAATGTGTTAAAGCCGGTGACAAAACTCGACAAAACTACAAATCTGTTTCAATTGCAAATGAGASAAAAGAGAAGAAAGAGAAACGGAAAAAAAAAACTGATTAGAAGTTAATCTTGGCAGCCAGACATTTGAAATGCTGTAATAGCCCCTACATTACACTCCAACCCATTAAAGAGGCCTGTGGAAGTTTAAGCACCCTGCTATCACTGGTGCTCACTGGGAAGCATCCACATGTGCTACAGAGCTGTGCTGGGGTGGAAAGCCAGGCTTCCCCAGGGAACAGCCCGGGGCAGAGGCATCCTCCGACCTGTCCTTGCAGGACCCTCACGCTGCTCTGAGTACAGAGGGAAGCTAAGGCTGCCAGAAGTTCCTTTTGTGAGTATTCTCCAATGATTCTGCTTAGAAAGACAGGGAAATGTGCTTAGTTGCTGCTGCCGACTGCCAGTGACTTTACTGAATTATATATATAATAAGTATGTCTGTTGCTGTCATTACTGGACATTGGAGAAACAAAAGAAAAACAATAGAAATCACTGTCTTTCAAATTGTAGTCACATTGTTTGCACACATATTCCTATTACGCAGGCTGAAGAAACCCAGAACAAGAGAAAGGAGTGGATCTTTCATTCCTATTTAATTTACAAGTCAAAATAAGCCATGTTTTTTAGCATGACAGATTCACTTGCTTGATCTGAAAATTATTTGTTAGGCAAGTTTCTTGATCTGAAAATTAAGTTATTTGTTAGGCAAGCTCTCAGCTGGTGTGCCTGGCACCTACAGAGAGCAAGAAAACTGGAACACCCTAACACTTGTTTTTGTCTATGGCCACAGAGACTTTGCGGAGCTGACAGCTGAAAAATGAATATGCCAGTCCTGCCACAATTCCATTTATTTCAACAGTGCTAAGCGTGCTTCATGACATCCCTGGTAATGAATCTTACCAGGAGATAAGTACAATACCAATGTGTTGTTCTCACAGTCATGTTTCTGACCAAAACCATACGTTAGCCAGCCCTTTAATCTCTGACCCTCTAGAAGTTGAGTTTCTTTCTTTTTTTTTTTTCTTTTTTCTTTTTTTCTTTTTTTAATCCTTTTACTGGAATCTGTATCTCTCCTATCTTCACGTTGTTTTCTGAGAAGTCCTTCATTACAGCAAGAGACACTGATAATCACTAGGCGCCCTTCCTGAGCAGCTGGAATTCCCGCTCACGCAGTTATCAGGGAGATCTGACCCTGCCTGGCTTAGGAGGCCACTCCGATAYGGAAACTCGAAGACAGGAGGTCGTGTGGCCAGGAGACAAAAATATAACTGCAGGCAGCGGACAAAGCATCTCACATTATAAGCCTGCAGGGAAACTGATTTTTTTCCCCTCCTTTTACTAGTTCCATTTGAAAGCAGTAAGAAAGGATTGTGTGCACATATAGGTGAATAGTCTGGAGTTTTGAGTAACTGTAACAATAATCCCCGCAGAATTGTCCATCTTTATTCCTAACAACCAGTCAGCCCGAGCACTCAGAGTCTTCCTTTCCACCACAGGGTGGTTAATTAATAAACCTTTAGTTAATTGAGTTTTCTGGCTSCCAATTCCACAGGGCTTATTACACATGCAAACTGCACTTTACAGCAACTTCCTGATTTTCTTTCTTTTATTATAAATCCAGTCAATGTAAATTCTCTGCATCAGACATTAGACATCATTAACACTGCAGYGATGTCCACCCACTACAGACAGGCTTGCAGTCTATGTCTAGTCCTAATTATAAATAACTAATGCAGAGTCAGGAGCTGAAATAGATACTATTTTTGCAGAACTGYTTAAGTCCACAAATTTGAAAAAGCAGGGGTCTCCATTGCTCTTTAAGTAAACGCTGTTTCTGTGGAAAAAAAAATAACAAAAATGTTTTTCAAAGGGAATATCTTGTTTGGGACACTTGGAACAATACAAATACAACAACAAATTACCATACTRTTATGATCAGTGTAAATCAAATGAAACTTTCGAAAGATTTTAAGAACATGTGAGTAGATGTGGCAGGTAGTGGAAGTGTCATTCTCTTCAYGTACCAAAGGAAACCTGATGCATAGACTTACGCAAGTCAGCGAAGGCATGTATGGCAAAGAGAGGGGGCAGGAGAAGTCTGTGTCTCTGCAGCTGGGCCACCAACTAAATGATCATGCAGCTCCAAGAGAAGCCCTGTTTCTGCACAGGCCTCAGCTTCTGCACACTCTGCCCTGCMTGGACACTACACTAGAATAGCTACTGTAAGGGTGTCAGGGAACTCCCACAACACTTAAATCTGTAACCTCAGCACCGGAGCTATCAAACACAGTAATGTTAAAAGCCAGTCTGAAGAGCTGCAGAGCAGTTTTTTGTTTGCACGTAGAGGCCCACATCATGCTGAGAACCAACTGTCAACCAACTGTCTCTGCACAAGCAACTAAATTGACAGCCTATATTAATAATCTTCACTCATTTGTGGCCTTTGTTGGATCTTTCCAGACAGCCAGATAGGCTGCTGGTGTAGCTGGGCCTATGCCATTGTTGCCAGTGTAACTGGGCCCATGCCATTGTTGCCAGTGGCCAACCCTGCTAGATTTCACCCGTAGAGAGCACTGTGCAATTGGAGGCAGCGGAGGGAAGCAGAGGGAATGGGCACTTACTTCCGCCCTTGCCGCTCTTCTCCATGCGGTACTGGTAGATGTGCAGGGTGAAGAGCATGTGGGAGTTGCGGTGATCCTCCTCGTCGCAGTCTCGCTGGCTGCTGCGGCGGGCGGCGATGGCTGCATCCAGGAAGAAGGCAGCCTTCTCCGCCGTCGGCGCCCGCAGCTCGCTCTGGTTCTGCAGCTGCAAGTCAATGGAAGGAAAAAATCATTGAGGAGCCCCAGGAGAATCCACTGCCATCAAAGTGCAACGTTGATACACTGGTTTCTGGTGGCACTGAAGAGGAGGAAATGCCCTATCAAATATGAGCTGCCACTCATCTCCGCTGACATGGAGAATTATGCCAAGTCCTTCAGAAGTCCTACAGATGAACCCAGGTTTTTGAGGGTTCCTCACTGGAGCACCTCTAGTGGTAGTTGTCATGCATAAATCTAGCAGCTGGAAACTGTCCTAGGGGCTGGATGGAGATGTCTAAGTCTGCTCCTTCAGTAGAATTTTAAGTCATTCACTGCAGTTCATTGTTTTTGCCACCATTTCTGTTTGTTGGTTGTGCTGCACTGCCTGCTGTGGTAACCACTGTGTCCTTATGGTTATCAAAGAAATATGCAACCTGGGAAGACATAAACCCCAAACCCATAGCTAGTGCAGGCAGGCAGGCAGGTGTATGTGTTACCCTTCAGGATGTGTTAGGAAGGAGCAATSCAGTCTGCAGATTACTCAGTGAAATAACAGGACTGAAGCTTGTTTTCCACTCCCAGAGCCTGTGGGAGGCAGCACAGAAGAGAAGGCCCTTCCCTTATGCACCTGCCCAAGAGACAGGGCAATCCATTAAGAGGAGCAGGACAGGTAACRTACATAACTCTCAGTGGCTGGACCTCAATCACAGCCACCAGCCTGCTCTTATCTCTCCCCAGTGATAGAGAGCATATGAGGGCAGATATTATTAACCCACGGCAATGCTCGGCATGCATGTGTGCTTCGTGTCACCTCAGATTAGTCTGCCTGTGGAAGGGATGTGTGACGGGGTAATCTGATGGCATTAGCTTGGCAGTGCGCAGAGCCGGCCCCCAGCCCCAGCACAGACTTGTTTTGTCTGGCTCAAATTCAGTGAGGAATTCCCATTCTGTGGGCTTGCTTCTCAGCTATGTAATGCAGCTAAAAACTAAGTTCTCCCTAAAGAAGGCAGCGCTCCTGACCTCTCTTTGTGTTCACTAGCCAGCTTGAGGAGGGATGTTGCTGAGGTTTTTCAGTGAACCACGTTAGCTAAAGGCTAAGTTTTCTCTAAAAAGAGAAGGGGCCAATAAGGAGTTAAAAAATAAGCAGAAGGCAGGCCAGTCTTTAGAGTGATTTCACTAATGTAAGCAACAAGAAAATGTGCATACTTGGAACGGTCCAATGACAGACCGAATGGCATATGGTGATTATTCATTTGCTGTACACATTGCTGATTTTGCATATCTATATGGCTATAATGTAATATCCTGCCTCGCACAGAACTTTTCATCTCGGAATTCAGAGAATTCACTGGCAGGACACATGACTCCAGAAYGTCATTATATCTTGAACCTTTATATTTCTAAAGGTGCACAAATAAAAAAGCCTTTTTGCTCCCACTTTCATTCAGTCTGTTACATTACAGAGAGACTGAGATGTCTCATGGAAAGTATTTTTTTCTGTACTGGCCTAATATGGCCGCCCATCTGTACGTATGTGACAACATCAACAACAAYGGACTAATTATTACTATTGCTAGTATGCTGAAATATTTCAGTGAAGAATTAAGCTTTAAAGAGGAGATGGTTGTTACAGTTATGTAACCTTGAAACATATGCTAATTCCCATCACGACTGGCCCGTATATCTTCCCAGTAGTCTCATGATTCATGATCTTGGGGGATGTGAAAGGTGTTTTATAAATTCTCACAGATTTAAACGGTCAAGTCTCTTCCCTCCTCCATCCTTTTCCCCATCCTTGGATAGGTAGAGCTCTACAATTTCTGGATGAAAGCGGATATTGCCCTTAGGGCTGAAGGAATGTATCCACACTCTACCATGCTAGTTTGCCTTCTCCTCACCTGCTCAAACAAACCCTAGATTCATTCCATCACAGACTGCAAAAGGAAAGAACAGGCCTTTCTTCCCCTCATACCAAGAGAAAAATAATAATAAAAAAAATGTAGGGCTGCTGAAACTTCCTAATGGTTACCTGAGAAATACATGAGCCAGTCATTTTTGCTAAACCTCCAAACCTGAAGAGAGTTGGAATTATTCTTGGCTTGCCCAGCTCAGGAATTTATTCCTTGGCAACAATTAATAAGTAACGATTAATGCTTCCTACAACATTACTAATGCAAGTGCTATAAATAATGTAGTTTACAAAGAGATAAACAGCCATATAAATGGCCTCAAGCTATTTGTGCAGTACTGTAAATATTTTAGCTTGTTGCTTTACAAAAGAGAGATCACACTTTTTTTTCTTTTTTTCTTTGGAAGGAGGTGAATTTTTGTTTGCACTGAATGTTTTCACATTTTCTTGCAAATACAGACCCCTGCTCAACATCAGTAATACCAGAGGTACAAATATTTAGGCCAGGAGAGCAGATGGCTCTGCAGCTGCAGGTCATAAAGTTCTTGTATGTTTTAAAGTAAACACTTTCAAGTCTATAAACTTTATGCTCTGGGTAGYTCTTGAATTTGAACTATCTTAGTAGCTCAAAAAAAAAAATCACATTGCTCGTTTCAACGTGTAAAATATAACCTCAAATTCACCTGCATGCCGCAAATGGGGTCCTCACAAAGGTAGACACCTGGGGACTGACCATCTTGGAGGCTGCCTGTAGCCACTTCTGACAACAGGTCTCTTAGATTTTCTTCTTTCCCCCACACTTCTACTGCAGAAATTCGGACGGAGAAGCGGGCCCCTGTCTTCTCTTTGCGCTCATTAATCAGCTTGAAGAGCCAGGAGATGGCACAAGGGATTATGCCGAGGTTCTGCATGGAATCATCCTTTCCGATCATGGTGTATGACTTCCCTGTCAGGAATGGGGAGGGGAGAAAAGACAACAACATCACTCCAAGACCTTTGCGGCCTTTAGCCTTGTGAGACTACCCTGCACAGCCTCAGCAGAGAGGGAAGAAAGGCAAGTAGACAAACAAATGACACGAACAAATGACACGAACAACTGACAACACTTAAAAGACACAGATGACACTGTGAACTCCATTCAAAACCTCCATTTYCTCCACTCCAACATGCTTTCACTGTGCAAAGTAGAAAGTCCTCTGACACTGCCAGCTCCCCAGGCAGAGGACTGCAGGTCCCTACCCTGCAGCCTCTGGTGTAGGAGGAAATGTGGGATGAGTTGAATGCAGCATGAATGCCCAAGCCTCTAAAAATCCCTACTTTTAATACTGTAGGTGCAGTATACTTTTGATACTATTTTACTTGGAATCACCCTGGACTTAGGACTGACATAAATATGGACTCTAGATTATATAGATGTAACTTAACCTAAGAAAACAACAACAACAACAACAACAACAACAACAACAACAACAAAACGTGGGTTGCAACATGAAGTGTTTTATCTATGTTAAAACCTTCCCATACTTTGCTACTCTTGGACTCCACAGGCATAATTCTGGCTTATCTTTGCTGCAAAGATTGGTTAATTAAAAATGGACACAGCACTATTTTATGCTGCTGTAGGTGTCAGTACATATAATGTACTTATGCAAGTTTTACTAATCCTCCACATTTATAAACTGATAAAGGTATATATAATTTTAGGCAAGTACTTCCAGCTTTTTTTTTTTTTAATCTTTTTTTCATTTCATATATTGAATCTAAGTAAAAAAAAGTTCACCAAAAATAAAATTCATGTGGGTGTTAGTGGCAATGTCTGGGTGTCCCTACAGATGGGCAAATGCTGTTGGTGGGAATAAGGACACAACTGCAGAGATTCTGCTAATGGCTGTGGCATCTTCGACAGAGAAAAGGACACAGATTGTTTCATATTCTTGGAGTGCAGTCCTCTTCATTAAAAAGCCAGTTGTGTGAAAATACTTCTAAATAAGGATGAACAGAATAAAAGATTACTTTAGGAATGCAGTTATTTCAAAAGAATAATGTGATGATGATGATGACTCTTTTAATTGGTTTTCTATGAGCACCTGAAATGCAGTTGATGTAAACATTTGATTTGATTGTACTATGCATCGACTCATGAAATGTCAGCCTAATCCAAAGCATTAGCAATTTCTGGTTACAAATCTTCACTTTGCTCCCCAAATAGAGAAATTTAACAATACCAACCAAGTTTGGCATGGCCAAAGCAGAACACGCAGCCATCTGCCCCATTGACCACTGACTGGATCACCTCAGCCACAGTCCCAGCACATACTTCAGCCTGTCACAGGAAGTTAAACAAGAAACGCTGTTAACAATAATACAGATAATCAGCAGGGAATTCTCAGTATGAATGGTCATTATGTCATTAGTGTTCCGGACAGAATTAATGCAGGATCAAAAAGCCTAATCCTGATTGTCTCACTCACGTGCCCTATACTGCTGATAGTAATATTAGTTGTAAAGATACATGAAGCAGGACTGTTTCTCTATGTCTTGTTTTCTGAAGCTTCAGAATCTTTTGAGGGGTTAGACAAAACACACATTGAAGGAAGATGTAGTTAATTTATTAGAACTGTCAACCTGCCCCCACACACACACTTTTTTATTAGAAGAATCAAATATAGAGAATTTTTTAAAAGTTCTCTTATGGACTGAGTYCATTTCCATTATCACATGAGTAAGTAATGTAAGGAGAAAAAAATAGCCCCTTAGGTATTACCTATGTGACATTTTTTCTCTACACTGTTCTGAATTTTCTTAGCTTTCAGCAGTAGCAGGATCCATCCTGAAGGCTGTAGCACTATTTTATGAAGTATGTTATACAAAACACCTTGGGTATTCTTAGATTTAAGATTCAGTCATACTGAGCTATATAGAGTGGTTCTGCAGTAACAGTCTATCAGTACTTGGTGGAATCAGATCAGAATTAACAGAGTTTAGGCTTTCATGGGAAGCAGTTTGCATTTGATAATAAATCACAAAACTTCTCTGAGTTCAGGGGTGTTTTTAAGCAACTATTATAACAGTAAATTAAATGGGTCAGGAAAAGGATTGTTGAAGAGTCAAGCAGCATGGCACAGCTCTTGTTTATAACCCGAACTCCTACTTCCCCAAATTTTGCTGGCAGCCCAGCAAAACAGCCTGTGGGTRATGGTGCTTGGTCCATCCTACTCCTGAGCTGTGTCCAAACAYGAGCCTGGCAGAGCCATAACTACCCCAGCCAAAACTGGGACTGAACTAATGAGTTGACTGCATGACTTGACTGTTTTGGCTGGCGCCCAGCTGCCTTTAGCTTATGAATATAGAAGCAGCCTTAGAGTAGTATTTTGTAACTACATTTTGCAAGGTTACTTTATTCTTGTATTGTCCTCTTTATCATATTTGGGTATTCATCAAAGCACTGAAGGAATTTCATAAAAATATGAGATCAGAATATATATATGCAAATAGGAACATGTGGACTAAAATCCCTGTCCTCCCATTGTGAAACTATGCAAGAAAACCATCTAATAGTTGACTTCTTAATGAATGGAGGATTGCTTTAAAGAACTGCAGATGTGATCAGATTGTCATAAAGACTAGACAACAAATTTAGAAGACTCAGTGACCTACTGATATCTAGGATTCACCTAACAGATTCCATTTACTTCGGTGGTGCAATTTACTGTTGATGTACTTTTAAGAACAATTATTTACACTAAATATTAAAGAAAGCAGAAAACTATGTTATTCAGATATGATTTAATAAATTATTTTTATTATAAATGATACTGGTAAAGCAAATTTACCCCAAATTCAATTCCACTGAGAATACTGCTGTTGCAGAAGGAATGAATTCGGCTCTGCTGCACCCTATTGCTTAGATAACTGTTTYGATCATACTTTACCTACCTGTGATGAGTCTTGGGGAAAAACTGCATCAAAAGCAAACATCTTGGGTGGAACCTGGTTGCCCCTTTTCTGAAAGGCATTCTGACCTCCACAGGTCAGCGGGTCATACAGTGTGATTTGCTTCTTACGGGGATCAACCTTTAAGAAAGAGCTGGACTCYGATGTGTCTCTGGCGAGTGTGGAAGAGATGCGCACCATGACTTTGACCTGTCAGCAAACAGAAAGAGGACCACATTTGATTAGCGTGTTGGATGTACTAGTCTGGAATGTGGAATTACACCGAGCCAAATCTTAACTTGCTTTACCATAGCTAGCGGCCTAATAAAAGTCATTGAAGACACAGGAATGATTATAGACAGATTTGGGCCCAAAACACACAGTGACTACAGCCAGATGCTTCTCTATCTACTTCAACAAGCAACTTGTGTATTTATAATTACAATGTACATCGCTGTGTTTTAGTGCCCATGTTACTCAAGTACAACGATAAGGTATTACATCACCTTGTCGTACTCTCGATATAAATTGAAAATTAACTGCACCCCAGTGGCCCAATTAAGAAAGCTGAAGGGAAATCTAGACCGCTACGCTACCCGAACGGCTGGGTTTCTACGAAGCAGCCTGATCAATAAAGCAAGCACATAAAAGCCAGATCTGCAATTTACACCTTTCCGATTCTAATCCAAATGCAAGGAGATGAAGTGCTCAGTTCTAAGTGTCATCATCAAAGAGTTGTGAAAAGAGTCCTGTTTTAATGGTCAGCTTTTTGAAATGCTCGTCAAGGGAGAGGAATGTAATAAGCGATAAAAGATTTGTTAAAGCACGTTAGCTCACAACTCATTAAATGGCTACATAATAAGGTGCTATTTCTAAGACGAAGACACATCTTGGGGGATTTAATRAGGTTACACTGCATCCTTAGCCCAGTCAGTAAGCAATTTAGATACAAGGAAAATCTAAGATAATCAGTCTGGCTTTGGTACTTTCCATAAATTCACTACCTGTGGATGGAGACATGAGTTCCTGAACTTTACAGGACAAACATCACTCCCATGTCAACTCTTGTCCTCTAGCCACAGCTGTACTCACCTTGCCCTAGAGCAGATTGACCTTCATGACAGCAACCAGACACATCTTACAGTAAAATTCTGCTTAACCATATGTCACTCATATCAAACCCACACTAGTTTGGCACACAGATAACCAAAAGGGTCACCTCCCCACAGGGTGAGAGCACATACGCTGCTGGATTGGCAGATTCATTCTGCTAGGAGGYTCTAGCCCTAAAATTCAGACAAGGCTGGAGTTCCTGTCAGTCTCATCAAAACTGGTGCTCTTTGTAAGCAGGTCTCCTTTCATGCTGGCCTAAGTTCATCCAACACGAAAATAAATCAGCACCTTCGAGAGGTCAAGTCTGGGCAAATTTTTGACACAACTCCTCTAAAGTCTATGGAATGAGAAATTAAATGAGAGATTATTCATATTCTCTATATATTCGTGAGTTAAAATGCTAATTTGACTCCAAATATTTTAAGGCAGGGAAGCAACATTGTCATCAAATGGTGAAATAGTCAAGAATCTGTGCACATGATTTCAGTTACGTCTGTTTTATGCCATTATCGAGGGAATGCAGAAAAACCCTGCTGGGAGGAGGAGTTCTCAACTGTTCAGCTCAGCTGTTTATGAAACCTAATCCGCGGTCCCTTACTGAAGAAGCCACTTCCAGCATTTCACCAAAAGCATTCTTCTAAGCCCAGCCTAAAGCATTCTTCTAAGCCCAGCCTAAAGGAGAGGCCACTTCTGCTGCAACAAAGGCAGCAACATCCTCTGGTAGGTCCATGCGAGCTTGGCCAGCTTTGGGGTTACTGCAACTCTAGACCTCCTGGCAGCGCAGAAGGGAGGTGCCAGCCAAGCCGCAGGGCCAGAAGGGAGCACAATGCTGAGCCCCAGAGCAGCAAGAAAACAAAAAGCAAAGTAAGTCTAGAACTGTTTGCCAGTTTTCAACGTTGATAGAAATTTGAAATTTGAACGTTGAAAATCCATTTCAACGGATCCATTTTGCTTTTTTCTACCATGTTCCACATTTGCAAACATGTCAATATTCAGAACAGACTGATCTGCTGAAAACCAAAACAAATGCAACATTACAAATACTTTAAATACTTGCTCTGCTTTCAAAATCTATTTCTCCTAGATGCTTTTGTGTGGTGTTGGCTACTATGAATCCATGCCCTGCAGACCCCAGATAACTGTGTTAGCAAAGGAGAGTTAACAGAATACCCCAGGGCTAAGTGTCACTGGGCTCCGAATAAAGGAATTTGGGTGAAATTTAACAGCTCATCATATTCAGGCAGTCTATCAGTCCTTTCTGGCCTCAAATTATATGTATTAAATAATTAYATGCATATGTATTAAATTATACATTTAATTTTATCTTGAAATACTGCTGTTTTGTACCAGTACAGCATCACTTTGTTCCTAATTTAAACCTGTACACAAAAAAATCAGTGTAATACTTGTCACTTTTTACTGCCGAAGTAATACAGTAAATCCTTCTAATTTCCAACAGCTACAGTGACAGAAGCTCTGGCATCAGGTTTCTCTTTCCCTGGAGTAAAAGACAATTTTACTGACATCCCAAAGATTTGCTAGCATCAAATAAACTGAAGGAACCACTACAACAAAGAGTTAGCTCACMGTCCCAGGACAAACTTTATGACCGGCTGGCTCCTCAACTCTAGCACATTGACATTTTTCAAGATAAAAAGAATCCATTGCTGAAGCATTTGTATTTCCTGTGCACTGGGCATTGGTGTTTTGAGACYGAGCATTCCTATTCAGTAAGGCAGAGGCATTCTGTACTGATTGTGTGGCTTCACTTCTCCCTGAAGCTGCTCGGTCTGCAGCTGGCGTGAAGATGCCGGTGCACTCTGGCCCAGCCGTACTCTGGTTGATTCCTCCCACCTCAGTTCGGAGTGGTTGGAGGCAGATGTCTCCATCACAACCCGTTGTCTCTATCTCTTTGTGGGCAATGGAGAGAACTTGGCCCTTTAGCACGTAATTCAACCAGCCCCGTTTATGCATCCAGCCTTCTGAATAGGATGAATCGCCTTCCCACAAAATCTCCTTCCTGCCCCCATACCACTGCAGGAGTCTGGATGCTCAGCTGAGACACTGCCCTCGAAGCTGCCTAAAGACAGTAAAGAATTCCACGCTTTTCAAAGACTKTATTCTTTTTGCAGTAAGCATAGTAAGAAAGCTAAAAGAGATTACAAGACATCCAAACTAGAGGTGCTCTCTGAGAAGACAGGCAGGCTTGAGGTGAAGGAGTCAGATGGCAATCGGCACAGTGGCCCTTCCTTATGGGTCCAAACTAATATGATACCACCTCTCTGCTTTGCACTGCCCAACCACTACAACTGAGTCACAGCCAGCGCCACTGCACGTGAATGTACGGACACATACAGTCACATTGTTAATAGGCTAAAGGACTACCAGTTGCCATCAGCTAAACAATTCATAATTAAATATTATTATGCCTGTAACCTAAGCCCAAGGATTTCATGCAAAGCATTTCCCAACAGTGGTTATGAAAAGAGTAAATCAATTAAGCTATAGCAGTAGAAACGATGGGAGAACACGGCCTCCTRTTCTCCCATTCCACAGCTTTTAATCCAGTTTATGAACTGGGGTTCAGCACCAGTGCTGACCCCCACAAACCACTCCACTGGGGAGGCAGCGTGAGGATGGGAGAGTGGTGATTCACCCAGCTATAGCTGGGGATAGCACAGGAATTTAATGGACTTAGAGGACTTCAGTTCAATTTCAGGCAGAGACAGGTTGAGGATCGGAGCGCTGCTCCAGGGAAATCAGAAATACAGTACAGTTAATTTGAAACTAACTGAACAGTGAAGTTGAAGAATTTAATACTTTATCCTTGCAATTTCTATTTGAATAAACTRTAAATTGAACTTCTCCGCATAAAGAAGAACACAAGTCTTATGCTTCAATTCCTGTGTGTCATTACTCCTCCAGTTCAGTGTTACARTTCTCCACTAATCTCTTGTAATTGAAGGCTTTAGGAGATACCACTTGTGATTATGGGAACACTCAGCCTGCCAGAAATTCCTATTTGAATCCCAGGGATCAGCTTTAGATGCAGTCTTAGACGCACCTCTGGYTGTTTCCAAAGGAAAGCATGAGAGCTTACTCTTGAGAGTAAGCTTGACATGGGCTGCCTCTAAAACAAACAAACTGGGTGTAATTTTGATCTAATCTTACACTCACGCAAATGTGGCTGAACTCAGCAAGAACAATCCTGCCCTAAGAACRGGGAGAGTGAATAAAGGAAAAGGTCCCTTTTTCTGCATTGCTATTGTCCCTCTTCTAAGGGCATAGCTTCACCGCAATTCTGCTGAGGCATTTTTAAATGTATTTCTTTCTTTGAGGTCATAGGATTTGATCTGAGGACTGACTATTCAGTGTAACAGCAGCCCTTTCACTTCTTTCTCTGGACTTTGCTTCCTACCTATCAGGATTTACTCTGTTCTTGAATGAATTCTCAGCCACTGTGGATAAGCAATAGTGCAAAAGAAAGTGGAATCAGAAAGTACACTGTTCAGATTTTATCAACAGGGTATTTATAGGTATGTATTTCACAAAATTCTTTCTTTATGCTAATTACCCACACTAAAAACTCACTGTTCACTCACGGGTGGCATTTAGTAGCATCAAGGGAATATATGTAAAAATTGCTGTAGTATCACTTTGCTTCTGTACAGTAAAAATATGCATGTACCTTTTCATTGTGTCTACTGCAAGTTCAGATGCCTAAATCRTGTTTCCTTGCCTTCTGTTTCCTTACCTTTAGCATCCCTATATAGACGCCTATTCTTCCTTGAAGAAAGAGCTGGATGATTGYGAGACTTTTTCCTGGTGAGCTCAATTTGTGACCAGCCGTGGCCTCTTGTTGGGTTTGTACTTGGCCAAGAAGGACAAGGGGTCAGYGGGCTCGGGAAGCCCAGCTGGTGCCATGAAAGAAAAAGAAAAGAAACCGCAGCCCGGCCCTAGGCCAACACTCCGGAGGCTCCCGGGCCTGCAGGGCCTGTGGGGGTGCCGGGCAGCGAAGCAGTGGGGAAAGCAGGAGGGGTCTGCGGCGTCCAACGCTAATAGGCACGAGCAGCGGCGGGAACGAGGCGACACAGGCG